AAAACCCAAATTCGAATTCAAAGCTTCAAAGCTTTTTAATGGTTGTCAATGGTAGAATTGCTGCTCTCTTTTCCTTTGCTCTACATTAATGGAATTAGGGATTGATTGATTGATTGATTGAGAGAGAGAGAGAGAGAGAGAGAGAGAGAGAGAGATTTCTGGTCCAGGCTTCGAGGCTTCCAGCTGAGTTTTCTTTGATTTTTCTCCTTTTTAGCTAAACTACTATTTTCAAGCCGCCTCGTATCAGCTTATTTTTTGTATTTTATTTTCAACATGAGGGAAATATCTCTACCTAATTTGAGGAAATTATTAATATGCATAAACATTTGAACCAATGGCCTAGCATCTGTTCAACTAAATTCAACTCAACCTTACTCAAAATATCATTTATAATTAGTTCTTACTCCGGTCCACTTTAACTAATTTTTAATTATTTTCACACATATAATAACTTCATCTTTTAGTACTAATTAATAATAAAATTAATTATTTAACTTTAATTTATTAATTGAAAATATAACAAATGCTTCTAGGCTCTTTACTCCAAGGGCAACTTTAAAAAAAAGAAATTAATTCCTTCTTGATATCTGAAAAAAATCAAATTTTGTAGACCACAAAAAAGACCAAAAAATTAATTAAAGTAGACCGGAAAATATTTAGATTAACTCAAAAAAGTCATATTTTTCAAAATTGTACAAGCTGTGGATCATGTTTTTAATATATTTTACTTGAACTAAAATAATTGGAATTCTGTCCTGCATAATTTTATATCTGTGGAACATGTTTTTTTTTTTTTTTTTTAAGATTTTCAAAATATCTTGTATACAAGTTGACTGCCAGCCTCAGTCAATCATCAGTGGAGATACATACGGGGAGAAGTTTTATTTTGTGTCTCACACAACTTACATTAGTTGTGTGAGGCTCTTTTTGGTCTCACAAATTTGTGGACCCCAATCTTACACTTCTAGGTCCACAAAATTGTGACATAAAAAGATGTCTCATACAACTAACACTAGTTGTATGAGACACAAAATAAAATTTTCCTACATATGGGAGACTGGCACTGGCACAGAAATATCTATGCTCAGTACAGAAATCCTATATGCATTGGAATTCGGCCTGAGGAAATGTTTACGATACATTACATCACTTTTACTTGTCCACTATTGATTTTGTACACCCTTTAAAAAGAATAAATAAAGTATATAATTTAACATGATATTCATATTAATTGTATATAGTCTTAATGGATTTGAAAAATAATTTGGAATGGATAATTAATGCTAAGGGCAAGCAGGAAAAATAATTTTTTTTTTTTTAATATGCGAAAAGTGACAAATAAAAATAAAAATTTAAGTTTAGAATACTTGACAACTAAAAGTGAAATAAGAGTAATATTTTTGTCCCAAATAGATACATTATTTTCGAATTCGGAGTCAAATAAGTTGTTCTTTAACTATGACTTTTTTTTTTTATATATTTAAAATTATTAATTGTTGTTATATATAGTACTTTTTATGTAGTTTTTAAGTATATAAATTTTATTTAAAAAACAAAGCTAGTGTTTGGACATAGATTTGGTTAATTTTTGAAGATGAAATGAAAAATAGTTTTTGAAGTTGAAATTATGTTTGGACATACATTTTATTTCAAAAGAATTTGAAATTTTGTAAGTAGAGTTGTTTTGGGATTTGAAAATTTTATTTTCAAAATCTACCAAAAATGATTAAACAAACAGATATTTAAAAACAAAATTTGAAAAAAAAGGTCCCAAATTTTATGGTCAAACGGGAGCTAAGATTTATGTTCGAATTTGGTAGAAGTGGTTTTGTAGGTCATTTCCTCCTATTGAAATTGTAAGTGACCGCAAAAGATTATTTTCTCGTAGTAATATTTATATTTCCAAAATTTTACACTATTTGAGTGGGCGTTTGGACATAAGAATTGTGAAATTTCAAAAAAAAGTGAATTTTTTTTTTAAGTGAAAATGATTTTTAAAAACTAGAGTTGTGTTTGGACATAAATATAATTTTGGGTTGTTTTTAAAGTTTTGTGAGTGGTCTGAGAAAAAATTTTGAAAAACAGCTTTTTAGAATTTTTTAAATTTTCGAAAAATTTCAAAATTCATCTTCAATTGAAAATTGAAAGTTTTGTGGCCAAACACTAAGTTTAAAAAAAATAAAATAAAAATCGAAAAAATATGAAAAAATTCTTATGTCCAGTCGGGGTCTAAATAATTGAGTTTGAACTTTTTTTGTTTGTTGTGTTTGTGCTGATGTCCGGCTGACTGGTGACAACAGTCATGACTCAGCTGGCTTGGCATAAGAATACGGGTAGGGTCAGTACTAAAAATGAAATAGAGAGTAACAGGGAAAAGAACTAATGACTTAACCAGAGAGCAACACATGTTAATATTTTTCACTGGCAAGTTTGAAGGCCACGAACCTACTCTTTCTACCACTGCCAAATTTCTGCCAAGTGTGTGCTTCCTCTTTCTCCACGCCTATCATTCCATTCCCTTTTTTTCCCTTCTTTTTTTCATCTCAAATCTCACCATCAATTACCACTTCACCATTTTATAAAATAAAAAAATAAAAATTAAAAATCATATATATAGATGGCCCCTTAAATTTTGCTAGCGTTAGGAAATAAATTTGGTTGAAATTAAAAAAATAAGCTTTTCAAGATGAGATGAAAATGATTTTGAAAAGTTGAAATTGTATTTGGACATACATTTTACTTGAAAAGAATTTGAAGTTTTGTGAGTAAAAAACTTAAAGAATTTCAAAAACTACTCTAGAGATGTTTTTGAGATTTGGAGAGTTTATTTTCAAAATCTTCCAAAAATAGTTAAAAGCTATAAACAAATAGATACGTATTTCAAAATAAAATTTTTAAAAAAAGCTCAAATTCTATGGCCAAACGGGAGCTTAGTAAGTATGATTTTTCATTTTAGACATTCGTACTTCGATAGTGATTTCTTAAACCTTTTAAGTTGTTATAAACATGTCGTAATTTTTTTTTCTTTTTTTATAATCGTGATATTTTGCTTAGATTACACGTACCTCAACTAATTTCATAGATATATGTCACTTCGCACGAGAATTGTGTAGTAAATATTTCCATTTGTTGTTGACATGTCAAATGAATGAGCGGCTCGAAAAAAGTCTACGATTAAGGGTCGAGGACGAATGATTGTATTATGACATTATATTCGGCAATAATTGAAGACGAAAGACTTGGACAAGTTATAAACTTTTTCCTCTGTCTGCCTCCTGAGATACCTTTTACAAGACAATTAAACATCTCACACATTCTATGACATTGTCCAATACTAACACAAATTGATTCATCCCAACATGATCAAAATCAGCTTCAACACCAACATTTAGCCATCCCACTGGTTATTTACTCTGTGCTTCATCATTGGAGATGCACAACTTTTATGGCACTTTTTTCGGGGCCATATGCGAGTCAGAGGGCAGCCCGATGCACGAAACATTCCATATTCATGCAGAATTCGGGGAAGGGCTGATCTCCAAGGGAGTGTGATGTAAGCAACCAACCTTAATGTTAGCACCACTGACTGATTTTACGGATCACACGCGAGTCATTTTGTGTAAATGTTGATGATATATTTACAAAAATGCTTGGAGCCGAAAAAAATTGGGTATCTTCGTGCATATGGCCTCGAAAAAAAGCATTCACGAATATTTTAGTGGTAGAGGTACAACTCATAAAGCAAGTAGAAACAACTAAAAAAGAAGCTAACGAGTGTGTGTAAGCTCTTCACTTATTTGCTTATATTTTACTTGTTTGTACTTGCTTTACGAGTTTTACCTTTGTTGGTATACCATCAAAATCTTTACTAATGCTTTTTTCGGAGCTATATGAACAGAGATATCCAATTTTTTCGGTCCAAATACTTTTGCAAATATATCTATCATCTTTTAAAGAAATTTCTCCTTTTTGCTGCTTCTAAATTGGCTGGTCAAATCAAACCTACAATTTAAAATTGCAAATCATTTAAAAGTACATGCATATGTATATTCTATGACAAGATAAAGAGTATATTTCAAGTTACAAATTCAAAAGCTTCATTAAGCTCTCCCTTTGAACAATACTTCATCCAAATAGTTGAGATTACATTTGTTTTAGGTCCTATGCGTTCTAGTAACCTTAGAGCCCTAATATAGATTTTTGTGCCAGTTAAATTCTTCTAGTCTGAGAAGAATTTAATTGGATAAATGTTTACCTTGAAAATGGTATTAACAATTATATTTGAATTTGTGGTTCTAAAATATGTGATTTATTTCAATGCTAGTTGTTAGGCAATAGATGCTAAATGTAAGTAAAGAGAATAAGATATGCAAACCCAGAGCTGTCACAAGGCCGAGCCTCGAGCTGACTGGTCAGAGGCTTCGAGGTCCAGCTAGGGTAGTTAGTAATGAACAATTAATGGAGAAACAATGATGATGGAGGCCTCAAAGATAGCCTTTTGCGGTTAATAATGAGCAATAAATGAAGAACAGTAAATGAACAATGAATGAACAATGAGAGAATAAGCGATAAATGTGTAGAATAATTGTTTAAGCAATGAGAGCAGAGAATGTTGTATTGAATTCAATATGTCGTGCTGTTACAAAATGACAAAGGTCCCCTTTATATAGGAGGGGGGAGGGAGGGAATGCTACTGGTACAGCTGTATGATGGCTTAGTACGAATTCGTACTATTTCTCGCAGACTCTGTCAGTCCTCATTACGTGCCCTCGGGGGTTTCCCGCCTTTCTATGATGGTCGTCGATTTTCATGCTGCCTCGAGGCACGTCATGATGAGTCTTCGGTATACCCTGCAGAGGCGAGTGCTTCAGGGACGAGCTTTGGACAATGCTTCGATCCCACCAAGGTCGGGCTTGAAATGCCATAGAAGCCTTAAAA